GGCAAGCATTTGTCAAGGTTGCCTTTAGCGATTTAAAATTACTTAAACATGCAGTGTCATGCAGCCAGTGGCTTGATGCGACAGCGGCATTTGCCAATATTGCTTGTTAAGAGAGCTCTAGGCGGGGTACCAGCACTTTGATGACACTGGCAATGGGACCGCAGGAACAAAGGCAAGGGGAGGAAGGTAGCGAGCCAGCGGTTTTTGGTATGTGTCGCTTTGATTGAACTCGTGCTCTTGTTTGGGATGCCTCGAAAAGCAGCCACTAATTAGCTTTGTGGAGCCTCACTGGCGGCCACTACAAGAATGCTGAACTCGACTGCTGGTGTTTTTCTTCTTCTTTCCATTCCACACACTTTTTCGGCTCAAGATTGATTCCAGAGAATGTATTGCTGGGATGTTGATTTGGACTTAGACGAAGAATCGGACTGTGATGAAATAGAATTTCATGGAGCGGTGCCAGCAGCACCACCTTTTGCACTCCTGGATGCAGCACACGCCGACTTAACGGTGGCAATGGTGACAAAGTTTTTCTCTGCGAAAGATGTTGGCCGCATCCATCATCTTGCGCACCGTTCAGATGTGAAAACTATCGACGACCGATGTGCAGATTTGGTCTACAAGCACGAGGTTTGGAGGATTGAATGGCAACTCAAGGAGGCATGTTTGGATCTATATGACCGTCTAATGAATGCAGCCTGGGCGTTGGACGTGAGGCTTTGGCAAGGCATCCGTAGTCAGAAACTGTTTCCTGAGATTGAGTACATTGTCTACGATGTACAGAGCCTGGGCGAGCCAGGCAAGATCTCAAAGCACCGAGACAACGAATCCCAGGTCACAGCGGTGGTTTTGCTGTCAGATCCTCAAGCCTTTGAGGGGGGCATCAACTATTTTGAGGGCGACCGCTTTGTGAAACTGGGCCTTGGTGATGCTGTTTTCTTTTACGGTGATCGTTGTTATCATTGGATCACACCTGTAACCTCTGGTAGGCGAGTTGTCCTGCAAATGGAACTGAGCAGGGCCTTACCCTGTTGGTATTGCTGGTAGGCTGTCAGGTGCCAAAGATGCAACTGGCAGTTCATTCCAATAGCAGCCAATGATCATTCAGAAAAGCTTCAAATGGGATAGACTGCATCATCAAGGGGCCTCCACAAGAGATGTCCATGGTCCATACTCAAACTGCTGCTGCATTTGCAGGGCCATCCGCCGCGCACTTTGGACGAGTGCGCTTCCTGCAATAAAGGGGCCGCTTGGCCGCCTCGTCGAAAAACACAAAATCAACCTCGAGTTAGATCCATTCAAGGGGCAAGGCAAGGCTCTCTCCTTAGCTCAAGACCAAGGCCACTACGGACTGCTCCTTGGCAGTGATGAGTGTTGTAACAAACGCCATCTCGTCGGCCCCCCGAGCACAACCCTTCGTTAGCACCTTGCCACTGGGCCCCCCGATCAGCAGCAAGTTGCTTGATGCTAAGTCTTGGGCCGCTACTTCGTAAACCCATTAGCAGCAACCTGCCTTCTACAAGTGACATAAGTGTTGAAGTGTCAGGAGATGTGCAATAGTCTCACCATGTCTCACTGTGCTTGAGGCATTCGAAGTGGACAGGGCATCTTGGTCGCAGCTCATGTGTGAGCACAGTAGGTCCATGTGATTTGGAACGACCATCTATCCAAGCAACATGTTGCGAGGACAATGCGCCAGCGCTTGAAGAATTGAATGGCGCTTCTAGTTTGCAAGATCGGGGACCGTTCGGCGATCGGGGACGCTTCCACGTCGTGAGAATCGCCGAACAAGGTGAACATTCACCGATAATTCTCGTCGTTCCACATTGACAATGCACGAGCAAAAGACATTCTTTGCAGCCTGACCTGACGCTGTCAACAAGGTTTGTCACAGCAGCTCACCTGATGAATTTGCCTTAAGAGCCGTCTTAATGTAGATTTCATTGTGGTGGCACGCCTCAGATTATCACCAGTGTTTCACAACAAATAGCACATAAATTCATGCATATACAGTTTGGCTGCTTTGCGAGGAAGAGGCCAAGGAGAAGGACGTGCCAATGCCTCCGATGTGGGAAAACCTTGATGGACTACCGTCCCATCCTGAGCAGCTGCACTCTGGGACAACTGCGGTTGCAGCAAGCAAATCGACTCACAATTGGAAGTGAACAGCGAAGGCTAAAATACATATAGTCTAACATCAACAAATAGCCCGCCGTCAACATCACAACATGTCCCCATGCAGCCATGTGCCCGTTGTAGGGAGGTGAAGGTGACATCCCCAGCAGTGGCCTACTTCTCCAAGGAGTCCACTCAGGGTGACTTGCGTCAGAGAGAGAGAGGGGGAGAGAGGGAGGAAGCTTGATTGTCTAGAACCATTTGTCGGCTCTGGCCTGTTTGGCAGGACATTGCGTCCGGCGAGGATGGTGAAATGAGGCTTGGCAGCACCATAATGCAATATCAATGCACATATGCTGGATGAGAGCAGGCAGGTTGTAGTCAGAACGATATTGAAGCTCATCACCCTCACCGAATGCACGGTGGGCTTGCGTCAGCACACACAGAAACGAGGTTGCGGCCATGTCAGCCTGCATGTGTACAGATCATGTAGGTCGCCGCAGGCTCGTGATGCAAAGAACCTGCGGGAAACTACGGATGCGGTTGGATGTTTAAGGTATAAAATCATAGGCGGATGTAGGAGGAGCCGTGCTCAGGAAACCAACATTTGGGTGCAAGTGTGGCACGACTGACTGGCGACCAGCGAGCCCTGGAAGCACTGAAGTGACGACTGGTCAGTGGGCTGTGAGCCACAGAGAGGTTCGATCGATGGATTGAAAGTGCGTCAGCCAAGGATGTCACATCCAAGCATTACTTTCAGGCAAGAATTTATCGACCTACATCCAGAGCCTCGGTGGAACAAGTTCGGAAGTGGTCCATGCTAGAACTTTAACATCATAGCGAGTAGGGATAAGCACTAGAAAGGGAAGGGCGATGTCGTTGAGTTGGTGTTGCCACAGTGGCGCGAGAGATGGTGGTGTCACCTTGGATGTTCTGTATGCTGGCAGGATTTCCTTGGCAGAGTGCAGAAACTGAAAGTTGATTTGGCAGCTGGGCGTTGCAAGACGCGGTGTTCGCTTGCCACACTCGTAGCCAAAGCACTCGGGCCAGCCAAGGTAAACGACAGCACCAAGAAAACCCAGTGGGCCGCTGGCTAAAGGGAGTGGAAGGAACTCATGCAAGGGTGATCAATCTTGCAGATCCTTTCTCGGTTTGGGTGAGTTAACCCGATTTTGCATGCGTTTGACACCTGTTGCCTCGATCATCCTTGATCCAAGAATGCGACCTATGACTTGCTGCGGTTTCTAAAGCCTGGGGATGTGTTTCTTAGCTGCAAAGGATTTTGCGAAGATCTATATTCAGACTGTTGGAACTATCACTGATCCTCCTTTCTTTATCAGTTCGACAATCTGACGTGTAGTCTATCAGGCTGACTTAGACTTAGACTTGAAGATGTACACTCTCAGCTTCCGTCACGATTCCAACGAGCGTTTGCAAGTGGAAACCGGGCAGAGAATGAACATATCCAGATTTGAGAATTGTGGCGCCGAGAACGACATACGATCAGAGTATAATTATGCAAGAGTATGTTTGATTATACACTGGTCCAAGGCCAACCCTGACAGAGACAACACCAGCCATTCCCGGAGGCGGGACACAGCTCCCCGGCAGCTTCAGCACCTTTTGACCGCGAGCAGAGCGTCGATCGGACACGCTGAGGTTGCGTTTCTTAACATTCTGCCCGGAGGCACGTACCTGCGGAAGTTTATAGCAAGATCAGTCAGCAAGTCTTGCAAATTGCTTTTTCGGATGACACTTGATGACACCTTTCACACTTGCTTTTTGGAGCGTTTTGCCAGGCAGCACAAACATACACTATGAAAGTTACAGCTTTGGACTCCAACGATGAGCCCATTGACTATTTTGAGGACATATATATGTTATGCTTCTGCAAAAGATTGGTCACCATCAGGCTTCGTAGGAGCGTGGTGCCATGGACCATGGACTTGCATCACAGGATGATGAGATGAAACTTAGTGGCACTCCTGGAGCTCCACCACCTCCAGAGGAGGACTTGATGAATGATATTGCACCTGTCAAGTCCCTTGGTTTTGGCCTTTTGGGACTTCGTCATTGGTCCTTTTGCAGTGCATAAGCCTTGAGATATCTTGAGATGCCCGAGACGGGCTGTCGGCTGAGGCAAGCTGAAAAAATCGCGGAGGAGGCCGTCGTGAAAGAACACGGCATGGACACCGGCGGAGTGAAGATTCAGCCACAGCCGAAAGCAGGTGTGACAGAGGAATGATAACACAGAGATGTACAATGATGTACACTGTAACTTGGCTGCTACTTGTATGTTCGCTGTGGCCCCTCACTGACCACTGAGACGTGAGTTCTGAATGGGTAACGCAGTTGCTGTGCGTATGTAAGGTAGCAGAAAGATGATGGAATCTTCGCACTGCTTGTGCAGCAGAAGAAGGAAGACCTGCGAAGACCAATGGAACCAAGCCAAAAAAGGGTTTGCAACGAAATCATACAGAATCAATGACATGCACACAACCAGCTCCTGATATTTTTGGACTTACCATAGCTACCAGTACATCTTCAAGTGACCACGCAGGTGGACTTTGTGAGTGTGGCTGATGGCTCGCGTCGGTAGGGCTTCTTTGGCCAATGTGCCACAGCTCACTTTGATCCAGTTTCATCGCTGCCAATTTAATGCTGTACATACAGAGGCAGCATCCCAAGGGCCTTGGAACTCCTATGGTCCTTTTTGCTTGGACCGCACTACCAACATGCTAGCTGCTAGCTCTGCAAATTCTGCAGAGTTCAGGAGTTTGGTCAAATGTGTGTGTGTCATTCATGGTTCAGTTGAACTGCACACCTTGCCTGCATCGTTTTCCCATCGCGAGTTCCACAAGTCACGAGCATGCAGAATCGTCCAGGATCCAAATCTTTGCAAGAGCCAAAGCAGGTGCTCCTTGCATTGTTGGTTGGGATGTGCAAGAATACTACGTACAAATATGCTACTAGGAACAAGTGCCTTACTAGTAGTAGCAAGTGCCTTACTAGTAGTAACAAGAAGCTATTAGAATTAAGCTTCTTGCACCAATGCAGCTCCGCAGCTCCAGGCTTCACTGTGGAAGAGTTTTTGCTGGGAATACTGCCTGGCAGCACGCCTCACGCTGAGTCTGACCGGGTTGACATGATCGACACGGTCGTCTAATGAGCCAAGATGAGCCAAGGTCGTCTTGTGGGAGGCCGATCCAAGTACGAGCCCAAGTTCTGGAACTGCAAAATGCAGAAGATAAGTCCAAGCTAACAGATTTGTCACAACTACTAGGTTACGGTTCCCCAAACCGCCTGGGGACGTCTGGTTTTGCGATGCGTTTCAAGAATTGGGAAGGTTTCACCTTGCCCGAGGAGCGACGCCAGACAAACTGAAAGACTCGGCACTTGAGCGCTGGATTGACAGAGTCAACATTCATCTTTGATTTCTTATAGGAATTGCTCCACACAAAATCTTTCATAGTTCTCCACTCCCTGGAATTGCAGCAGCTGCAAGTTTGTCAGGCGTTTCACATCGCAGGTCACCGTCAGGCGTTCCACTCTGCATGCCAGCATCAGGCATATCGCAACTCATAGCTCTAGAGCGACTCTCTACCGCTGTTACCGTGGAAAGCGAGAGAACAACGTGACACGTGAAGAAGTGAATCGATGACGTGACAAACGTTGAGCAAAAACTAACAGCGCCGAAGTCAACACCGGAAGGCCGATGCCTTTCAAGCACTCGGCCCAAACTAGACGCCAACAACGAAACAAACCCTGGGAAAAATCAGCTAAAAGCGAATATTGTAACACCCACAGGTCTTTCATCTAAAGAACATGACAACACAAAAGCACTCACATCGTCCAATTCCCGGGTCGACAATTCGATCAAAGAGGCTAACACACCAGGATCCACTAAAAAGAACGGCTGTAAAGGAGTGGGGAAGTCCAAGCGAGCTAAACTTCGATCACACTCGAAGGCCAACCGCAACAGCACCACACTAATTACACAGACCTAAAACTGCATCCGAATCCATGAAGCCAAAACTTGCAGGAAACTGAAAATGAAACCACGAACGACACCCGTGTCGTTTCTGCTCTAATCTGACACCAACGCAACCAACTTTCGAACGACTTACCCCACCCAAATCTTGTGTTTGTCTCCCTGCGGGTAAACCAAGGGGGGAGAAAAAAGAACACTGCAAACTCCAGCAAGAAATAATGCAAAACGCTATAAAACACACAGGGGGCCTACCACTTGCAAGTACTGGCTGGTTTGGTGAATTGGCCTATGGTTCACGACAATGGGCTCCCGAGATACTCCGTGATAACAATAACACAATCCCCACTTAGAATATGAGGACCAGGGACCTGAAGGACTTGGTTTGAGTTGCTCTTTGGCCATGAACGACTCATTGACGGCTCAGTATCTGAGGGAGAAAGCTCCATCTCAGAAATTCATCAATTTTCCGAGGGACACGAAGTCGTAGACTTGCACCCTATGGAAACGACAGAGTCCAGCCGCCCAGAGAGGGACTTCACAGGCGTTGCCGATCACGGCGATGATGTGGAGAATGATATGCCGAAGCTTGAGGAGAAAGAAGTTGAACAGCAAGCAGCAAATCAGGAGCCTCCACCACCAAGGCGTGTGATGCTTTTGGTCATGCTTTGCATGTTTCAAGGCTATGCGTCAATGGTGGGCCCACTTCAATCAGCTTACAAGCATGAGCTCGGAATTACACACGGGACAGACGCAGCTCATGCTTTCACGCAAGCAGCTGTGGGCGTTCACTATGGGAAGCTTGTGGCACGACTGGGGCACAATGTGTTTTTTGCGTGTCTCAGCCCATGGACACGTGTCATCATTGCAATGTGCTTCATGCTCATTGGAGTTCTCATTCCTCCAGTGTTGGTTTTCTCCGCAGGCTGGCATTGGGTTGGCACCGTCTTCATTGCGTACATGCTCTCTGGCTTGGGCTTGGGCATTTTTGAGGTGACGTTTCTCAGCGTCATTACGCCACTCGGCAAGGCGACCAAGTCATGGGCCATTATCGGATGTCCTGCTGGCTTTGCCACCATCAACATTCTAGGCACGGTGGAGTATTGTCGACATGGTTGATGTATGTTGATGAAGTTGTACTGACGCCAACCTGCTTCCGTTGTGGTTAAGGCGCAAAGTCAAAGTTGTAGGCATAGCCAGGGCACCACCAAGTGCAACCAAAAGACGAGGAAGTCGAACAGCCCAATCGCGGCCTCGTAACTTGACCATTACCATCAAACCAAGTTCGCAAGCAGCAATCTGTAACTTAGCTCGGACATCAGCCGACCTGTGAGCATCAAAAGTAATCCAACCACTTTTGGCAGTAATGCGGGGCTGGGCAGCCCACCAAGCAGGGGAAATGTTGAAGAACGTTGCAACTCCAGTCTACCATCACCCAAAGCAGGGCATTCAACGCAAAAATGTATCATAGTCATAGATGCATCTTGAAATTTGCAAAAAGGGCAGCGAGAATTGTTGGCAGGCATTCGACCCTGATGGGTAGGTGAGCTAGCAGCACCACCTCGAAAAATAGCCAACAAAAGCTGTTGCTGCGAATCGAGGTTGCCACGCCAAGTGGTCCATTTTTAATGAGAAGAGGCATCAAGGTCAACCGAGTGAACACCCTCAGCATCAAACCTGGTACGGCGCACAGTCAACATGGCTTGATAGCGGGCAGCCACATGCAAAACATGTGGACCATCTGGGTCATGGACGCGGAAAACCCAACCTGCATTCACACGGCGAAGGCAAGGCTGAGGATAGGGTGCAGGTCAATACGGTCCACCCAGAATCAACCAGAGCACTGCACTGCGTATAGTTCAGAGCACCACGGAAGGCCGTGACGACCTCAACAGGAGGACAAGTCAAGAGTGGCAAAGCCCACATCCACTTGCTTTTGTAGAAGATCCTCATAGCTGCTTCACGAACAGCCGCCACCAGGGAGGCGAGCAAGCATAGGAAGTCTGACCCAGTTGCAGCTTGCATATTTCTTGCATGTCTTGTAGGGTGGGGATCAGCACATGGTTATGCTGCACCTTTCGTGACCAAACATTCCAAAAAAGGAAAAAAGCACATTTCACCTAGTCACCCAAGCTGGCCAGGACTCACCTTGAGCTCATTTGGGCTTCCCATCGTGTCCCTGTACTGGTACATTGCTGCTTGTTTGCCAATGGGACTGGCCATCTTCCTGATGTACGCCCCCAGAGGCCAGACGGAGCTCAAGACCGCCAATTTTGGGGTCTCCTTGCGACAAGCGTCCCAGTGGATGCCGGGAATGGTACCTTTCTTTGCAGCTCAGTTCCTAAGCCACTTTGCCATGGAAAACTGGCCGGCCATTTTCTACATGTTCCATCCTCCTATGGTGCCACTCTTCAACCCCAAGAGTGACGAACATCTCATGAAATGGGGGCAGTTCTTTGCGATTACTTACATCTTCATCTTTTTGGGTGATTCGATCAGTCGACGCATTGCAATCTACCTCTCTACACCCAGCTTAAAGAAGAGGTTGCTTTATTTGGGAATGGCGATGGTTCTCATCGCTTTGGGCCTCTACCTCGAGTCCTTGGCGATTGCGATCATCATCCCTTTGGCCATTTTCATGATCTTCTGGGGCAATGGTACCATCTATGGTCTCACTGCGAATCATGTAGACAAACAAGTGCCAAGTGAGCACAATTTGGCCTCCTACTCCTGTTGGTGCTTCATTGGGGACTTGGGGGCCATTCTTGGAGGCATTTTGGTGGAAAATACGCACGATTTGTTTTGTAGAGGCCATGAAGGCCCATTCGAATGTTGAGGTCGTTCGTTGGAAGGCAATCAAGAGAATTGCTACAAAAGGCAGCCAAGAGGGCTGCAGAAATTCGGCTAGGTATCCTTGTGGCAAACACTGTTTGCAATTTCGTGCTTTGCACTCCCATACTGCATGCGATTGGGCAAATCAGTACCAATGTAAAGGTACAGAGTCACTCCTTAAAATGCGCAGCACCTCTACAGTTGTGCTTGGAGAATTCCAGAGAAGTCGGTAGTCTTGCCCAACCAGAGACGACTTGTTGCCACCTGCAGAATGCAGAAGCATCTGGTCGATGGTCCGGAGGAATAAAAAGCAAAGACGAGCACGTTGTTACTTTTGCAAAAAACATTACAAAGCAATGGCCTCCAACCTATGAGGGGTCATGATAGACATGGTGTCACACGCAAGCCACACGGTCGTGTGAACCACTTGGCTCACAGGTGAGCCAACCAGCGGACTGCGCTTGCAGCCCATTTGATGCGACCGCTGGGTGGAAAACCAAGTGCCAGCGACCTTTGTTTGGGAAGTCCCGCGTTTTGTCGTCGATTTAGGGTCCCACCCTGAGATAGAAATGCGTGCACACAGTTTCATAGTGTTGAGCTCGCAAACATATTTACCGTATATAAAATATATAAAGTATGTGTTCAAGTTTGTTTGTATGTTCCGCATTTTTCTTGGGCGTAGCGTATGCCTCCAGCATGCAGCCATTTTGTGATGCCAAGAAGTGTGTGGCAGTGAGCGAACATTCTTCTCATCATAAAGAGTGGAGGGGTTGAAGCAAACTATACATTGACGGTGGGAGCTTAACACAGTTGCTTGCTCGGTTTTTGATCATTTGCTGATGCGCAAATATATATATATATATATATATGCTGTTTCGTCCCCGTAAGTAAAGGAGTTTTCCCCCCCAAAACGGTGTCTTCCCGCAGCTCCGGCTCATTTTGATGTGGGGACACCCTGCACTTTGCCGGTGCGGGGTGTGCACTACCCTGCGGAGGGTGTGCCATCACATCCGGGATTTCAGTCCGAAGCCCGGATACGTCCCCTTTGCAGCTGACAGGTTGCGCGTGTTGGCTGGGGAGCTTTGCGATTGGGGAGATTCCTACTTCGCGGCGGGGGCGGCACCTCCCACCGTGAGTGGTCCTCCTCGGGTGGAACCCGCAAGGGAGGGAGAAGAGATCGACAAGAAGGCGGAGGTCAAGAACGAAGAGGACAACAGCAAGGCTTCAGCTGCAAAGAAAGAGGTAAGCAAGGCACATCAAGGCACCAAAGAGAGAGAAAGAAAAGACCCATCGATCACATCGAGAATCTGGACGCCGTAAAGAGAAAGGTGAACGTCCAGAGCTGCCCAAGAAGGAGACCAGTGAGGACAGTGCATTCAACTCGGAGGAGGTCGCGCTCCGCACCACAGCACCCAAAGCCGCTTGTGGGTTGAAGTCCGCGCCCAAGGAACCAGTTGAGGAGGAAGAGATTGAGGAGACCGAGAAAGAAGACAGTGAAGCACCAGTGCCAGAGGGGGAGAGAGCAGAGGAGGACGTAAGGGAGAGAGAGGAGGACCTCTCTCCTCGTTCACCCAGTGCCCGAGACAAGAAGCGATCCCGGAGAACCCGATCGAGGTCAAGGAGAAGAAGAAGAAGGGACGAGGAGAGTGAGCGGAGACAGCGAGAAGACAGTCGAGAAGAAGCCCGAGAGGAGTTGGACCAGGGCCGAGAAGGCCATTCGTCATCTGCTCACCCGGAAGCTCACCCTCGACCCTCACGGAGACCTAGCCGATCGATCCAAAGGAAGCCCAGAAGCCCAGACTATCCACCACCTTCAAAAGGCAGAGGTCGTGGAAGAGGTTGGAAAGGATACCCACCGGCCGATCGTGGACCTCGACCTGATTGGACTAACAAAGGCGTGAAGAAGGTGGGCCGACAGCTCGAGTTCAAGGAGTACCTGGCCTACAAGAAGCGTTGGTGAACTGGGGTTGGATGGCCCCGAAGAGAAGGCCTGCAGCAGCTCTACCAAGAGGACGAGAGGGCAGGAGAGATCAGGAGAGTGAGAGCCAGACCTGCTGCTGAACACGTGGAAGCTCCTGCAAGAGTGGAACTTGCTACGGGAGCATGGATAGACTCCGGAGGAGTCTCGGTGACCGACCTGGTGCCAGGCAAGAAGCTCAGCGTGGACGCCCTTTACTGGGACAGGCCAATCGAAGCAGCCGTGGAACTGGTTGGCGTGGCACTCAAAGCAGGGCAGATGGAGGTGTCGTTCAGGGTCAGCGGAACTCCGGACGAGCAGCTACTCAAGTGGCTAACGGCCGAGGAAGATCGCGTGCTTCGAGGACACCTTTGCGGCGCCGATTGCAACAACAGTCCACAGAGCGAGGATCTGATCCACGTCAAGCGGTTGAGGTTGCTGGAAGTAGACACCCCGGGTTGGGCCCGCAACTTGAAGGAGGCGGCCGAAGCCGAAGTGTTGCGCAAGTTGGCAGCCGAATCAGATCGGAAAGCCAGAGAAGCAAAGGGCGAAGGGGTTGGCGCTCCTGCGGAAGAGGCCGCGAAGGGAGCAGAGACTTCAGGCAGTACGAGCTCATCGGACTCCAGCAAAGAGAAGAAAAAGAAAAAGAAAAAGAAGAAGAGAGGAAAGAAAAAGAAGAAAAAGGCCAAGTCGTGGAAGGTAGAGGGCAAGAAGGAGCTGAAGCAGCTGTTCCAGTTCACCGGCTTGGACCCCGACGCCAGCATTCGGGACAAAGGACGAGTCCGAGGAGTCCACAGTCCACAGGCAGCAGCAGCGGCGACAGCCGGTCAGTGAGCATGGTCGACGAGCTCTTCGAGGACTCCCACAAGATTCGGAGAGCAGCAGTGCGAGGCCCCGGGGCCTTATCGTGTCAGACCATACAGAACATGTCGAAGTACCTGTTGACGTCGCAAGGGCTACCAGTTGCCCCTCGAGAAGGAGCTCTACCTGCAATATGCCTCCAATACCACAGGCAAGTGTTGGCAGGTGGCCTCTCCCCTCCTCTAGCAAGGGAGAGTTTGAACATTTGTTCAGCGGCAGACGCCATCCTCGAAGGACAAGCAGCATTGGGGTTGGACATTCTGCTTCAACGACTCAAGTCGGTGGAAGCGCTGGGAGGAGGCACCTCCTGGGCTTCGGCCCAAAAACTAGAGTTGACTCCTGCGGAATCCTCCCAACTCGTCGACCTCGAGGAGAGCCGGTCTGCAAACAGGGAGTTGAGGGAAGAGTTGAAGAACAAGCAAGCCAGCCAGCGCATTTGGTCAGGAGGGAAGAGCGACAGCAAAGGCTCAGGCAAAGCAAAGGCCGAGGAGACCAAGGGCAAGGGCAAGAAAGATAAAGGAGGAAAGGACAAGAGGGATCGAGAACGGGAGAAGGACAAGTGACCTCTCCTCTCGTGGCACTGACAGATGATGACATTGTGGCCGAACTTCAACGCATTGACCATGAGGTCAACGATGGGACAAAAGGTGCAAGCAGCAAGATGCCAGAGCTACACCTGGGTGAGGCGAACTATGATCACTCAGAAGCGGCCATTTTGGCCGGTACAGTGCATGACGAGCGTGCCGGCTCGGATTGCAAAACGTCACATACCGAGCTCGTTGAGCCCGCGAAAAAGGATTTGAAGGGTTTGCAGTTTGCAGATGTCGTTGGGGGGCTGGTGGGCGAGTTGTCGACCTTCCTTCGCAAGACCTCGACCCCGGGGGAGATTTTTCCTCTTCCGGTCGACTCCGTCATCGACCAGCCTTTTTTAGCTCATTTACCTCAGGGTGTTAGGACTGTGCTTCGTGCAGTGGTCTTTGGGGGGAATGACGTCTATGACTGTAGACCCTTCGAGAACAAAGAGTTTCACCGTTGCATGTCCGGGTTTTCGTTCTTTTGGGTCACCCTTTGGAGAGCTTTCATGGAAAGAGTTTCTCAAGGTGCGAAGCATTGACTACAAGGGGGAAGAAGTGAAGACCGCCCAACAGACATCGTGGGCAAATCTCGCACCAGCACTCCCTCCAGAAGTAGGTACTGTTGATCTTGAACAAGTTGTCGATTCAGGGTGCCTTCACTATGTACAACATTTTGAAGAATATCTACTCCCAAAAAGAGGCACAAGTATACACCAGACCACCGAAGGTCATGGTAGCAGAGGACCAGTGGGAGGCTCTGTGTGAGGGCCTCCTGTCCTGGGGGATCTGCGGTGTGATCCCTGAAAGTGAGGTCCACAAGGTTGACAACAAACCACTACTCAACGGCCTATTTGGAGTCTTGAAAGAAGAAACTCATCAAGGTCACGAGGTACACAGACTCATCATGAATTTAGTGCCATTGAACAAACTCTGTCGACCCATCACAGGCGACGTATCGACTTTACCGAGCTGGCCCAACATGAACGCCTTCCAGTTTCAGGCCGATGAAACGCTACTCGTAAGCAGTGAAGATGTGCGCTGTTTCTTTTACCTGTGCCGGGTACCAAAGAGCTGGACTCCCTACCTTGCGTTTGCTAGACGGGTTCCTCCGAAACTTTGTGGTGGACGCACTGAAGTTTGCTACCTCACGTCTTTGGTATTACCCATGGTTTTTGCAACAGTGTATCACTCGCACAGCACATACACCGGGTAGTAGTGGGAAGAGCGCTTGAGGAGGCCAGGAATTTAGGATTGAGGGGAGGTTGGGAATCGGAGTTGCGTAAAGACCGACCCCTCCCAATCAGTAACCCGGTGCACAGGGTCTATCTTGACAATTTTGACATGCTGGAGCGAGTCAATAGCAGTATGGCGAAAGTTGTGCGGGGAAGTGTTGCTCCTCTGGCCGATCCCCAGGCACCCCAAGAAAGCTGTGGAGCTCCAACCTCAAGCAGAGGTGCAAGGAGCACTGGTTGATGGCCAGGAGGGGAGTTCGAGGCCGCGAGCCGAAAAGATTGTGAAGTACGTGCAACTGAGCCTACTCCTTTTGGCGGGCGAGCGGTGCACACAGAAGCAAATTCAGATAGTGGCAGGTGGCCTTGTCTACATGGCTATGTTCAGGCGCCCACTCCTTGGCACACTCAATGCCATATGGGAGTTTGTGACTAGTTTCGAACAAGGTCCGCGGATACAGACAATACCATGGAAGGTGCGCAGCGAGATAGCTCGTTTCTGCCTGCTCACGCCACTTGCACGGATGGACTTTCGCACGGTGTTCTCCGGAGTGGTTACCGCAAGTGACGCATCATCAACGGGAGGCGGAATCACAGCGACAGCCAGCAAGGGTCTTACCTCCTTGGGATGCATGGCGGCAAATCAAACAGTCAGGGGTGATGTTGTGGAGCCGTCGGAGGTTACAAGTGTCTTGACAATTGGGTTGTTTGACGGCATGGGGGCCCTTAGGGTAGCAGCAGATGCGGTAGGTGTTCCGGTTGCAGGCCACATTAGTGTGGAGAAGCACGGCCCTGCACGACGGGTGGTTGAGAGTCGTTTCGCCTCAACGTTGTTCGTGGACGATGTCGAGAAGGTGGACACAGAGATGG